CCATCCCATCCCATCCCATCCCATCCCATCCCATCCCATCCCATCCCATACAACCCCATCCCATCTCATCTCATCCCAACCCATACCATCCCATCCCACTCCATTCCATCCCATCCCGTCCCGCAATATCTTCTCATTACGCGCTATCCTGATAATTCATTGGTCTGAAACCTGGTGCAATCCAAGCTTCTTATCTCATATCTTTTTCTCACCTTCTTACCTCTTAACTAACCTGTATCTACAATATTCTACCTCACTGACGCCATATTGAATTCTCCTCATCCGAATTGACGTCTGTGCTCGCAGATCTCATTAAGAAGTTAAAGAAGCCTCCGCCGTTGATCCGGCCGTCGGTGTCGCCGCAGCAGGCGCCGCCAGAAGCCATTCACATCATGAAGCAATGCTGGATGGAGATGCCCGAGTCACGGCCCTCATTCGATGCCATCTACGATGGATTCAAGGGCATGAACCACGGCAAGTACGTGTCATACATAGTCTGCCGTTGTAGAGACTAGCAAAGTACAACGACTGAAGTTTTCTAAAAAAAAAGTCATACTAAAGTGACAGCCGTTTGTCTCTTCATATTTTGTGCAATATATATATATATATATATATATTACCAACGGCGATATCATACAATACCTTGGATACTGTCTTTGATATTACAGATCAATTTATATTACCATAATGGGTGTTTGCATTAATGCAAACGCGATTGCATTAAAATTAGGTTAGATATATTTTAAAGGGGTTGTGTGTGGTTGCGTCTGTTGATCAGAAAAACCAACATGGTGGACACGATGTTTACAATGCTCGAGCGTTACTCTGACAACCTGGAGGATATCGTGAGGGAAAGAACCGAACAGCTGGACGAGGAGAAGAAGAAGACTGACCAGCTTCTCTATCAGATGCTGCCAAGGTACGAGTTAGGATTTGGGATAGCTGAGCAGTAACCCGTAACTAGTTACCAGCAACCAATAATCAATAACCAATAACCAATAACCAGTTACTATAGTTACTGGTAACCAGTAATCAGTTACCAGCGACCATGCAGTAATCAGTAACCCAGTAATAACACGCGACTACCTTTTAAATCATAGCTGAGATTACCGGTGCTGTCCGCGATCTAGGCAATACGCGGGGACGGCTAAAACCGACATTTTTTTTACCTCTCCCCCTATCTAACCAATACCTGCGATACGCAGCTATAACTAATTGACGTCAACTAAACTTAAATAACTAATTAACTAAAACAACTCAACTATAGACTATTATAACTAAATTATAACTAAAAAAACTATTAATTAACTAAGCAACGCCTGTCGTCACAATGCAGGACGGTGGCAGACGCGTTGAAGGCAGGCCAGCCCGTAGAAGCGAAGACGTACGAGGTGGCGACCATCTATTTCTCGGACATAGTCGGCTTCACTAAGCTCTCTGCCAGCAGCACGCCCATGGAGATCGTGACCTTCCTGAATGACCTCTACACGATGTTCGACAACACCATCAACCAGTACGACGTTTACAAGGTACGGACTGATGTCACTAAACTAAATTCATTAATTAGATTAATTAATTAGAGTGATTAAAGTCACGCGGGAGACGTCCTAGCTGCGCTATAGCAGAGGTGTATTAATTACGGAAGTCACTTATCATCGTCGTCGTCGTCGTCGTCGTCGTCGTCGTCGTCATCGTCGTCGTCGTCCTCATCACCGTTATCGTTGACAGGTGGAGACGATAGGCGACGCTTACATGGTCGTCAGCGGAATCCCCGTGCCTAACGGCGACCGACACGTCGGCGAGATCGCCACCATGTCGCTCGACATACTCAGTCAGTGCGGCACGTTCAAGATCTGGCATCGACAGAACCAACCTCTCCTGATCCGCATCGGAATACACACGGGTACGCGAAACGGGATTCGTCCTATCGCGGCCTCTGCTGGTGTTTAAGAACTCGGTGATTGTTATCGGGGGCAAGACCTCGAGGTTTTTTTTTTTAACTTTACGGCTTCTGCAGATTACCAGGGAAATAGAGGCCATAGAGAAAGCTCGGCAACCTCAGTGGACACACACGCGGCCTTTGTTATTTTCACATCATAATTACATCAGGAGTCTATCAATAATTGATAGACTCCTGATTACATCAATAAAGTAATTGCATAGAGGCATTAAGATAAATACCTCCGCGTCTTCCCCATTTAATGGGATGACACTCTTACACCAGAACTTCCCTTGAATCCAGAGAGACATGATACAAGATTGCGTGGCACAGCTTTGCTGTTGATCCTGAGCGCTGCGCGCGCATGAGACGCGCAGTTCCGCGGGATATGCGCACGCGACCGCGGGGATGTTCAAGTATGGAGCGCTGTCCGCAGTGGAGACGTGCGCCAAATTCGAGGCCCGACGCACGTCTCCACAGCGGTCAGCGGATGGTCTGTAGTTTTAGAAGATAACAATGAAGACGTTGTTCTAAATAAGAACTATCGGCGGCTAAATAAGAGCAATATACAGACCTTTGAATTTCTTGACTAGTCAGTCAAAGGGCTTGTTGGGGGTCCATTATGCAGAGCTTCCAATTGAAATGGCCCATAAAATTATCAAGTGGAATTGTGTTTTTCGGAACCCCAAAGAAAATGTCTCCCTCTTACATGCACCCCCTCCCTGATTATAATCACGCATTCAGGCGTAAACAATAACAGAGATGAAATTGTGTTGAGTTTATGGCTCTTGACGCACGTGCATTGACGTACAAGACTGATGAAAGCACAGTCACTTGGAACGTCTCAATAACAAGTGCCGCAGTGCGACAGGGCTCATCTGGTGTCTGGTGTTCTGCTGATAAATTCATTTGTGCATAGCAAGACGTCTTATACATAAGTCTTCTTTATTCTTGTTTGACTTTCGTAGCCAATTGGAACAAATATATCAGCTACACTTTCGCACCCACCTAATCTATATGCATTGCAGACACATGTGCATTGCAGGTTGGCAGGCAACAATTATGATTAGAAGCGTGCCAGCCATGGGCTGCCCGTGTTTTTGCCTACCCACACGGGAATTCACTAATCCAGCCTTCAGGGTGCTATAGACAGACTGCTTTAGAAAATAATATGATTTAAGGAGCGTAAACTTTGTTCAACAAACATTTGCCTTTTCAATTAAACTGTGCAACTGTAGCCTCACATTCACACAGGTATGGGCTCTAATAATAGCAAAAGCAGTTCAGTCCTTTGTTAACAGTCAACAAATCAATGTTTAACCCTCTTCTTAAGGGTCAAAAGGTTATCCGACACTTACTCTTCGCATGTCAGCGGAAAGTACATTTCACGGTCCTTTCAATAAAGCCATAAAAATGGTAGCTAGGTCACCGCTGAAACAAAATTGTTTTTCAATCGCTCCGTCAGACCATGTTCTCAGAAAATGTCTAAAATCTGCCCTCTACCCCATTGACCTTTGACCTGTGACCTCCAATTTCGGCACAGTGATGGCTTTTCCTACCATGATGCTATACACCGATTATCACGAGCCTAGGTCGAGCCGTTTAGATTTGTGCCGCAATTCTGCATTTCCTCCCTATACCTTAAGTTAAGGAGGGAATATTCCCCCTTCTTTTACACCTCTTGACCTTTGACCTTTGACCCAGCTTCGACATCCAACTTCGTTTTTGGATTTCCCCCCCACGTCCCGAATATCGTGACCGTAACGTCGAGCGGTTAAGATTTGTGCCGCAACTGTTGACGACGCACGGACGGCCGGACGACGGACGGACGGACGGGACGGACGGACGGACGGACGGACGGACGGACGGCCGGACGGACGGACAATCATGCGCTTCTACAAGCTGCACATGACTACGTCAGAATGAAGCTAAAAGTAAATCTTCACACATTTTTACAATGATCGACCGCTTGTGTGCAAAATATGTGAACGTATGTGAAACACATACGTTTAGTATTACTGTGACATATCTGTGGACTAACTGACACACTAAATTGGTAAATGTTTCCATGCGACCTTAAGAAATGCTGAGAAATTACGAGGTTATCATCGCAGAACTCCCGACACCGCCCATCCTGATGTAAACAAACACGCGTGTTGCGGGGTGCGTGCCTCCGATATCCATTTCGAGGCCCGCTAGCCGAGGCCGAGGCCGCTAAAGCTAGCAGCACACTTCACCATTTTCGTTGCTCGTACAGAGAAATTTTCTGTGGTCGGCAATTTTTGTGGCGTTGCGCGTCACAGCACACTTCACCACAAGTTGCCACCACGTAGCAATTTTCGTGTGAGAAATCAAAACGGTTTGATTCTCGGCAACTCGTGGTCACCACTAAATTTCCGTGGTGAGTGGTCGTTGCCGGCCCCCGCAGCACTTGGCCATTTTTTTGGCGACCACGAAAATTGCCTGTACGAGCAACGAAAATGGTGAAGTGTTTGCTGCCAGTTAGCCAAGCATAAAGCGCGCGGGCAAGACGTCACGCACACAGCTACGTTCATTGGCTAAACAATCGAGTAGCGCGGCCAGTTAAGGATTTGTAATTATTTAATTTTTAGAAAAAATTCAATGTTCAAGTGAATGACGCACTCGTTCACTTCCGAAAGCGGTAAAATTTCTAATTTTCCACTTCGTTGCGAAATGTATCGGCCGGGCCTTTCATTGTTTACGAAAAGCAAACAGTCTCGCCAAACACCTACACGCAGTAACGGGTCACGTCGTTGACGCGCCCCATTCATGCCCATCAACGAAGAAGGCGGGGCTTATTCTGATTACGGAAATGCGAAAATGCAACAAAAGGACGTAGTGCGCTAAACAGCGTGTTATTTTTATATTTGTGCCAAACTCTATCGTAGGAAACCGTTCTAGCCTAGCAGAATGCTCTAGTTCCTGAGATCGGCGATTTGGTGGTCCAATGGCCCCCATATTTAAAAAATATAAAACACTGGTGCGGCCGTTAGGCTGTGATTGTAAGACACAAAGTGTCAATCCTCGGCGCGGCTCGCCGCCCGGCATCCTGGCCGCATCACGTCTAGTTTGTGATACGTGAAGTCTGTGTAGAATCGTTGTTTGTCTGACGCGGAATCTCAACGTGACCCTGATTTCGTGTAGGTACGTGCGTGGCTGGAGTTGTGGGGCTCACCATGCCTCGCTACTGTCTGTTCGGCGACACCGTCAACACAACATCCAGGATGGAATCAACGGGCGCAGGTATCTAATCTATACTATAAAGGGAACAGTCCATTTTTTGTTAGCTATGTTCTCTGAATCTGCTGCGCATGATTTCAAATTGCTTGACTGTAGAACGATTGCATTACCACTCGTAGAGTCAATATGGGCCGCACTTTTTCAACGTTATGAAAGACACGATAAAGTTGAATTTCAAGCCGTTTATTTAACCACTCGAGGGTGTGCCGATACCCATACGCCGTATATCGATCGACGACACTACCCCAATGTTTAGTTACGTATTGATAGACTGGTACCGGTCGACAGTTCCAACACGCTACTACTAACACGTCAGTGGTAGGGCGAAGGTATGTATGCCTCGGAGTGAGGGTGGCGAAGCGGGTACCAGTCTAAACGTGTTGTTGACTGAGCTTGGCAATGTAGAGCGTAGTATGTGTGATGTATGTTCTCTGAATTCTGCTCGCATGATTTGAGATTGCTTGACATGTAAACGATGCATTACCACTCATAGAGTAATACTGTGCGCATGTTTGCCAATGATGAAAACCATAATAAGTTGAATTTCAACGCCGTGTTTATTTAACACTGCTAAAAATAGCATACCGGTGTATCGAAGCGGACTACTACTTAACCATGCGCTGGGCGCAGTATTGTAGCACGCGTTGCCTCATAGGCGCTGCTCATTTACCTATAAAAGGGAAAGCGAATTTTTATTAGCTAAGTTATGTTTTAGTTAAGCGAATTCCTCCTCATGGACTCTCCTGGCGATATCCCAAAAATCGCATAATGATGACCTTCCACGACAATGTGCTCACCGACATCTTCACCGTTCGGTTTCAGTTTGACACCGAAAACTTTGTAGCCCTGAGTTAATTACACGTTAGTAGGCTCTATGACCTTTATCTCCTGCAACTTAAGGCGTAGGTTTTTCCATTCCTGCATTGAATTATGTATTGTTGGCAAACACTGTTAAGCCCCGGAACAGCCCCACAGACAGGTGATTACCAACTTGCTGGACCAAAAGCTCCTGAAATTATTACTGCCTGACAAACCAAACTGCCTGGATATTTGGGGATTTCATTTTAATATCAATTCTTAAAACTGCTGATATAATTCATATGAGGCATAAAATAAAAAAAGTGTCCTGTTTACGGTCCAAAAGTCAATTTTTTAAAGCGTAGGTTATATTCGAGAATGTACTCTTGCAATGGTACTAGACATCAAATCCATAGCATTCACACACACAATACTTTCGATAGCAGAAACACTACCGGCCCTTGGCATGTGAACAAAAGAACATTAATACCAGGATAATATCATGCTCCATCGATGCCAAGCGATCATTTACACTTCAACGCTTGCCAGTTCCCTTCGGCTTGGTTACTGTGCATCACATCAATTAAAGCGCAAGGGTTCAACTTTCAGAAGCTGGACATCTTTCTCCGAAATACGTCTTCTCTCTTTGGGCCAAATTTACATTGGCTATCCTACGTGCTAAATCTTTGCCGAATAAAGCTTCAACTGAGAAAACTACTCACAACAAACTCAAGGCCAAATCAGGTCTCTGTCTTACGACAATTACCAAAACGTTGTATACCTCGAAGTTCTGCTAATTAGTGCCCATCACCTGTACGTTCTGTATTCTATTTTTTAACGCCTTCAAAGTATTCTTCTCAGACTTAAACCATGCCAAATCTACATTCACAGCATATGCCCGCACGCGTGCAGCATCACTACCATAGACTTTACTACCATTAGGCTCAGCATGCGGCCTTGACCACAACCTGAGCCTTCTTTACATGCGCATGCTTTCTATGTTTGCCCTCTCACAGTACGGCCAAACCAGGGCGATGGTACATTCAACACACAGCACACGAGACCAAAAGACATACTTTACAAAAGAGAGCCCCTGATCCCTTAGCGTGAGTACAACACTAATACACATCATTCATGAATTCCACCGTCTGAAGCGACGCGGTAAGCTTTGCTAGTTTTCTATATATTCGATGCGGCACACACACACGGCACACACTACGCAGCACGCGCGCGCACACACGCACCGCGGCGCACACACACGCACGTGCGCACAACAACGCACGCGACGCGCAACACACGCACGCACGCACGCGCACACACACGCACGCACGCACGCGAACACACACGCACGCCACGCACAACACACACACACACGCACGCACGCGCACACACACGCACGCACGCACGCGCGCACACACACTATCACGGCTTCAGTAGATGGTCGATGCCTTCTGACCGCCACCTTGGAAAACAGAATCCACCTCGCGACCTCTGCGTCGTCCGAATCGTCGTCGTTATAGCATAGATACGGATGTTCACGACTATAAACGAGCGTGACGAAGAGTTGTTAGCTAAAAGTGAAGCAGATGGGGTCGTTGTCGTATCAGGTACTACAGATATGTACTCGAGGTAGTTTTAGGTTGTTTAGTATTATGTTTATATTTTTATATGAGGTATGTTTAGGGTTAGTGTTAGGGTTAGGGTTAGGGTTAGGGTACACTTCTGTAGTACAAGTCTGGTACACTTTGTGTATACATATATATATACCTCGGGTACATATCTGTAGTACCTGATACGACAACGACCCCTTCAGCAAAAGTTAACGCTAAATTGTGATCCCTTCACTCATGCTCACGCTTGCTGTATCGATCCCAGGGCTACACATGTCTAGAGCTAAATCTTGCGCAAACATATAATTATAGGCGAAACAAAGACCTTACTGACATCCGTTCACTCTAGGCTGATTGTATCACGTGAAGCGGCCGTTTTTTAATTTTTAGTTTGTACATTTTAAAGTTAATTTCAACTAAAATTAAGTAAATACGTCTGCCGACGATTCCTCACTGCTGTCGCATGTCGGTGACACCGTAAATGGCGGCGTTTTTTCGTCCCGCAGCGTTTCGCATTCACGTCAGCGAGACCGTGGTCACGGAGCTCGATAAGCTGGGAGGTTACCACATGCAGTACAGAGGGGAGATCGAGCTGAAGGTACCGCCGGCGATATTTTCCATTCATGTTTATCTAAAGTTTAGCATTAAAGCATGTGGTTGTCGCTACCTATCCAATGTCATAGTTCTTACGATGTGATAAAATGGCAGTGTTGATAAACGTATCATACCAGTTACGTAAAAGATACTTTACATTTCGTAGTCGTTGCGTTGCCAATACCCAGACTGGCGCCGTAAGTAGCTGAGAAGCAATCTGACGACGGCCAGAAACTTCTGGAATCAGTCTAGTTGATATTGAAATCTATTTGATTGGCGTTTGTCTGACCCAGGGAAAGGGATTCGCAAAAACCTACTGGCTTGTCGGCAAGGACGGGTTCGATAAGCCTTTACCAGTACCTCCCGAGATCCAATCGTAGGTACTCACACCATCAGGTACTTGGATATTATCAAGAGCGTATAAAGAAGGACTGCCTTCTTTATACGCTCTTGATATTATGCATATCGAACATTTTTGTGATGAGCTCAGTGTGTGTGTGTGTGTGTGTGTGTGTGTGTGTGTGTGTGTGTGTGTGTGTGTGTGTGTGTGTGTGTGTGTGTGTGTGTGTGTGTTGTGTGTGTGTGTGTGTGTGTGTGTGTGTGTGTGTGTGTGTGTGTGTGCGCGCGCGTGCGTGTGCGTGTGTGTGTGTGCGCGCGCGCGTGCGTGCGTGTGTACGTGTGCACGTATGTGTTGCGCGTGTGTCCGTTAGTTGTATGGTGTTAACGCACGTGTTGATGTGCGCGTGTGCTTGCATCATTGCATGCGTACGCTCGTGTTGTATCTAAGTGCGTGTCCGTGCGTGTATGTGTGTTCTAGTTTTGTTTCGTTTACGTCCGTGCGTGTGTGCGTCTCTGCGCGCGTTACCACACGTGTTGCGAATATCACTGCATTCACCGTCTCTTATCATCATTCCTTTAGGTCTCTTCACCACGCGTCCCACGCCCCTGCCCCGCCAATCATCATCGAGCAACCCAGGGATGCAGATGGAGCCACCGTCGCCGCGGACGCGTGGGTCTCACAGGACATGCCTCTACACGCGGAAAAGCTGCCACCAGTGCAGGAACCAGTATCTGCTAGAAAAGCAGCCGTCAATCATCCTGCGGTTAACTCGTCGTTGCTGAAGCAACCCGGTGATCAACAGGTGTCACTAGACGCCACCTACCGGTGCACCACCGGCAGCACATCGCTGCACGGCGAGACGGCTGACATTGACTTTGGAAAGACAATGCGTGGACACGTCGCTGACGTCACGGCGGCACCACGTGACTCGCTGCCTCTGCAGCAGAGAGGGAACGGATGTAGATTGAAGAGCGGGAGAGTGAGGCGCGATTCTCGCAGGGATGCGAACACCCCCGTGTATAACTTCACAACGACAGAGTCACGGCAGATGAGCGGAGAACAGTTGCAGCCGTAGCAGTCAGCGGCAGGAGGTGGCGAGGGGCGGAGTGCAGCACAGAAGGAACGATACGCGCCAAAGAATGAGAAATACGGACCGGAGCAAGACGACATGCAACAGTGTCATGGAACAGCACAATAAGCGATACACACACCCGAGTGAGCATTACACACGACAGCAGGAGAACACATAACACAGTAAACAACACTTAATTCATTTTCTCATCGTCAGTATCACCCGTTATGAGTGCATTCCTAGCAATCATAGCAGTATGGTATACGTCTAGGTGTGCACCAACTCCTCGATCATTGCTCACTGTAAATGTTTTTACTATTTACTGAAAATATCATATTTATATATATAATGCCAGTGTATCAGTTTGTCATTGCACAATGTTGTAAACTATGTTTGCGTGTGAACACGTACATAACCTCATGTTTGGATTGTGCATGTAATAAATTATTTAACTGTTTTGTCAGAAATGTATGTTAACTTATTTATCATACTCGTATTCGTAAAAAATTAAGAAATGTGAATATTTTTGGGTCATGTTATTAACATTCCTTATTGGAATGCACATAAGAAAATCAATAACAAGTCTGTGTAAAAGCGGAGGACCAATAATATATCTGGTATCAAATAATAACTGTTTTAATACACATTTACCTACAAAATACAAGTAACAATAAGTAACAAGTAAACAACTTGTACATAAATTACTAAGACACGATAACGAATAAACCTGTAGATACATGTGTGCGAACCCTGATATAACTAGTCACGTCTTGCTAGTCTTCCATCATGTTTCGCAGGTTATAACTAATTTTACTAGAAGTGGTTTTCATTTAGCTACTCTTTAATGACAATTCATTTACAATGAAATTAAATTATTATAAATTCAAATCGCACGAATATCCCAGTGTAGGTTTTATGCCAAAATATGGCTGATAGAAATCCCATTTGAAATACCCTGATGCAAGGCACATTCAGTAATTTTATCTTTCTCATCCCCTCGGCATTTATCCAGCCCTCTGATCCTTTGGCTCAAATGTCAACAGTCGTTCGTAGGGCCATCATCCATAGGGCCATCATCCATACCGCCCCCAGATGGAGCCACGTACTGACCTCACACGGTTACTAACCTCAAAGCTAGCTGATAACGTTTAACTACGATGATTCCAGCCATCAGCTGCACATGGTCACTGAAGGCAACATGAATGTTTCCTGTGCAGTCCAAGCACGTTTACATTTCCTAGAATGTAGATCTAGCTTAGCTGACAGACCAGGTGTGGTGAGAATTTGCTGTCATACTCGTTCGGCTACCCACACTGCACCTCTGCATCCAATCTTGATGACCTCAGTCAGAGTCTTATAAAAAGGTGCCTGTACAAGAGAGATAATAAGATATGGGCTTCATGTCAAAAGATAGGTTGCTTATAGTCTCACACAAAACAACTAACACTTTGTGTATTCTTACACATGACATATTTTGATCATGCTTATGTTTTTCCAACGATTTTCGGTGTATATTTACTAACTCCAATCTTTCACGTTGCATTTCAATTTGATTTTAATACGTATCAATAGGAAATATGGTTTTCCACACACATCAGGTGATGTTGAAACGTCTACCAGGTATAAAATTAGGGCAGGGGTCATCCTCATTTATTCAGCCTCGGATTTTGACACACAGATAGATTCCAGGTATTAGGATAGAGTTGTTAAAACAGTTTCAGGTAGGAAACACGATACACTTTGTCGGTGTCGAGAGATCCTCTCCTAACAAGACTCCCAACAACTCCACTGTTTTGTTGTGTGGTGCTCACTTACCTGCTCTGCCTCGTTCTGCATCCCTGTCTCTAAATGCCCAAGCTCATCATCCCTGAACTCTCTGATAGTCTGCAATGAAGAAACGCGCAATGACGATGACCGAGAACAAAATATATATAGGGAAATGTGATGAGGCCTTAGTCTTGAACCAATTCATGCTAATTATCCAACTGGAAAAGCATAAATTGCTTTATTCCATTGCTGTCATAGAATGATATCAATCTGCTAGATATATTTTGTAAGTTAAAAACAATAGGAAATTCATAGACATAATGTACACATCCTATGCGCACAATCGGCACGAGTTTGACAGAATGCTGTTGTTACCTCTAACAGTTCCTTGTGCAGTTCTGGGTTGTCTTCTAAGAGCTCTCTTATTTGACTAGAAATATACACAATGCTATGAGCGTTAGCTTAAAATGAAGCTATACATTAAGCATTGGTTGCAATTGCACTTTTCTACCACACATAGATTATTTACAATAAATTCTGCACCTGCTTTCAGAGAGAAAACTACGACTTCACAGTTATAACTGATCTTTTAACATTGCTAGTAGCTGACTTACAACAGTAGGGACGGCTCAAAATGAGATGTTTACATCTATATATTATAAGTGCAGTAATTAACACACTCGTAATGGTGAGGAGTAGGTGCAGCTACCTCAAAGTTTCAGGATAGCAAGATGAATATATATATTTAGTTTTCACTGACTCTATTCCAAGTGCATGGGACATGCAACATGCAGTAGATACTGCTTAAGACTTTCGATGAAGGCAAACACAAGTAGGAACTACCATTTTCTAAAATGGCAGTAAGCAAACGGTAATAGTCTGCATCAATCACATCAGAGTGCATTATTTCAGACCTGTTGTAGTGATCTCCAATGATTTCTTCCACTGCAACTGTACAGGCCATGGCAGCTTGCTTACCTAAGAGTGCAGTACCAGCTCCTAAACAGCAAAGACAGCATTACAATGATAAACACCTTATGACAGTTTAAGGATGATTAATATCTGAGCAGTTATCCAATGAAATGATAACAATACATTGTATTGCACAGTTACATGACTGTTACCCAGAGGCATTAATAGGATTTACACAGAAAAAAACATTTTCATGCAACTCTTGCACAGCAAAAATGTGTGTATGGGGGGCTTAATACATTACTTGTACTTCGTTTTCTTCAAAATTATATAACCTGGTTCACGCAGGATTCACTACATATAAGTATAGTCACCGAGAGCAAATCCAGCTATGTTCCAGAAAGGTATCAGTGCTGATGGTCTTGCTCGGTACTGTGGCAGTAACGATTCAAACTTTGCCAAATGTTTTTTCTCTTGCTCCCACATTTCCTGCAATGTTATAAAGGTATATAGCAGACTGTACTCGTGACGTTTGCACAGGTGGGGTGGTAAATTAACGTTATCCACAGAGACTTGTGGTTGTGCCAAAAGTATTCGCACGCCGTGATCCTAAAGGATTGGTGTTTAAGCTGCATCATAATCAGAGTTCTGCACCGGAATACTTTAGAGAACGTAGCAGCTACGTAGTCACAGATGTTATGGTATGCACTCTTCATGAAAGCTACAATGAACAGGAATGCAGGCAGCTAGAGGGTTAATCCATCCTCCCACCTTTATCACGGGACCCGTGGCCGTCTTGCCTAAAACAGCCATCTGACCGGCATATATTCGATCTGCAGCAAGCTCGCCCGCATGGTCCACCCTGATGATGCGGTCAAGCATAGCTCTCCGTCGGACGTCCACACCGGCCGGCGTTGTGGACATTGTCCTGCACGTCTGTCTGGCAGGGCGGGCCATCCAAAGTAACATTGATTGCCTGGCCATTGGCATTGCGCTAAGAAGGTAATTACCGATTCCTTGAAGAATGCTGTGGAAATATTAATAGTGAACTTCACTGTTAAGAATATAATATAAAACCCGTTAAGAAGTGGTGTGGTGTTATTCAAAATCGCAAGTGATGACTCTGATCATGATGAGATGACCACTGGCCAGCTTCCAAGAGACGCACGTGACATGGTATTGGTATTGGTACTGTGTTTGTGCAGTGAGTCACAGTGAGTGTGTAGATTACTTCGATTTAACTTGTTAATCTTCTCATTAAATTCTAATTCTTGTGCACATGTACCTTAAAATAATATGATTCAGCACAAAGTGTCCGTGTGTAACTGTGTGTCTACAGTCTTTGATGTTACTGTGTAATAGCACGTATGTTTACTCGTTCTTCCAGGGGGCCGCCATATTAGATACGGATACAGGATAGAGGGCGGCACCATACGGTATTTCCACTTGTACACTCACAGTAGTCCGCAAATGCAGACGTTATAACTCCGCTTTGCTAATCTGAGGGTGCGGGTTTATCCATTACTTATCCATTACCCCATTACTGGGGTCTGCGTCGGCTCGGACTACACTCACAGCAGCAATCTCAGAATGTACACGAGTGATAAGAAAACCAGATCCGGCTCTGGGAATCACTTCTAAAGAAATTAGACCCTGCTGGGGAAATTTAAAGAAATTTAAAGCTTTACTAGTAAATTATTAGAAAATAAAACATTAGAAATGGCAGTGTACACTAATTTATTTGTACAATCATGAAGGACACATGCATGAACATGCTAAATCAGGCGCGTAGCTGCCTTTAGGCAAAAAGGCACGTGCCTGCACATCATTTAAAACAAAGGTTTCAAAAATTGCATGTTAAAAAGAATTTGTGCACTATACACGAAACAACATACATAAATAATATACATAAAAATGATATGCTCCACTCCACACACACTGAATGATTGAGCCATGTGCGTATACAGTCGCATGTGTGTGTGTGTGTGTGTGTGTGTGTGTGTGTTGTGTGTGCGTGCGTGCGTGCGTGCGCGCGCGCGCGCGCGTGTGTGTGTGTGTGTGTGCGTGCGTGCGTGCGTGCGTGCGCGCGCGCGCGCGTGTGTGTGCGTGTGTGTCTGTTCGTTCGTTCGTGTGTTTATGCGTGCGTGCCTGCGCATGTTCGTGCGTTCGTGTGCGTGTGTGCATGCGCGTTTTCAAGCGACAACAACTTGAGTTTATGTTTACACTCGAATTGCGGAGGTGGACGCTAGAAATGGGGACGTAAACACGCATATTGTATCGAACGTTTTTATGATCGGTTAGTGAGCGGGCTAGTGTAAACAACCCGCTTTATCTCACATCGATGTGGGCAACGGGTTCACACGCTTACTGAGATTTTCTACAAACACGATTTAATTCGTACGCTACAAAGAGGGCCCGGTTTGTGTAGGAAAAAGGGCAAGATGGTGGCAATTACTGCGTATTAAAGGCGAGCGAAAGCACAGGCGGTCAGTTACGACGAGGATGTATTGACGGTTGTTTAGTAACGCATGCCTAAAGCTGAGACAGCAGATACATTCACTCCTCACGCTGTGGGCCGGGCTAGCCTGGAAGTCCTATACATAAGCGTATAAAAGCCAAGACAGTAAACCTCGCTTCGGGTTGACCCTCTCTGTTTGTGTGGGCACGTCGCGCGAGGTTAGATTGCATGTAAAGTCATTTCTCTGAGTTCAATATGCTATAAACGATTAAAAGGTTAAAGGCGGGGTTTTCAGAGAATGGTTGGCAGTAAAAGGCCCGCGGGCAAGAGTGCCCGCAAGACGCGCGTGACATACTTATGTGCAGTCTATATAGCTGCTCATGCCGACATGACAGGCTAGGCATTCTGATTTTTTTTTAATTTGACCTGGTTGATAAATTAAAAACCTCGCCCGACTATACCTCCGGGGAAGGATAAAAGCACCCCGTGCGGTTCTGTTTATTTCCTCGACGATTCGTCACGCTGTCGCTCTCACACCTCTCTCCCTGGAACCGCTTGGTCAATGGTCAGAGTCGTCAGTGGTGCCGTCGCAGTATTACTCGGTCGGCAATTTTCGCGCTTGTGAGTATAATATCAGGAGTCTGACTCCTGATAATATAGTAGACGCACACGATAGTGTCGAGGGGATGAGAGTAAGAGTGGTGGGAAGAACGCGAGAGAGAGAGATAGAGCGGGAAGGAGAGAGCAAGAGAGAGAAAGAGAGAGATAGGGGGGGGAGATGGACAGACAGACAGAGAGGGGCGAGAGAGCGAGAGCTAGACAAGAGGAGTGGTTTCAATGCATAAGCTTATATCCAACTAAAATTATAGCGGTACAACGGGCTATTATTAATGTTGAGATATAATTACTACAATACACCTGAGACTACTTTATTAGCAGAGAAATCTTCGCATTCTTAGATAGCTCTTGGTCATACAAGGAAACAAAGATGACGATATAGACCAACTCGGATTGCGAGTATATCATTAACGCCCACGAAGGAAACCTAAAAAGAACGTGGCCTCATTCGACGAATTTTTTCTGTGTCGCTCAACCGTTTCGGTCCAACACGCATTTTCTCTGATAAACAGCATTCTCTCGCATGTACGAGCGCGCATGCGTGCATGTATAATTACGACAAGGAAAGTATACGCATAGTGTACAGCTATACACCAAGTGCATGGTTCCCAACGTGGGCGGTATCGCTCCCCACACCTGGGAGTTGTGAAGTAAGCTAGGGAGGATAAGAGGCAATGAGTAGTTCTTTATAAGGTACGATAGATGGGATTAGGGATAAGTGTTTATATCCAAGAAGGATTCGGTGGCCCGAAAAAGTTAGGAAACCATTGGTATGCATGATCTTCTTTAACAATGTACACAGTACGGGCGCGTAATGCTGGAGAATTATATTACAGTAATTATATTATCCATTATATTCTAAACGCGGTTCTTGCCATGCAGGGGCCCGTTGTCAGAAACAAAATTTGTCTTAACATTAGTCTTAACATTAACCTTTTCTCTTAGACCGTCGACAGAAACGCTGCGAAGTTACCTGAATGAAAAATCGTAGCAGATTTCCTGATAACAATACGAAACAAAGCGCTGTCGGCGGTCTACGAGAAAATGTTATTGTTAAGACTAATGTTAAGACTAATTTAGTTTCTGACAACGGGCCCCTGACCTCCATTAAACCTGCGTGACGTCAAGTTAATTTACACTATATAACTGAGTAGCCGCCATACTCAGCCTGATCTACTTACATTCTCTGATGAAGAGTACATTTATAATCTCAGATGTTCGTGTTGTATTCTGTAATCCTATATCTACTGTTCTTTTTTATGAACTTTTAATGCCATCACCACATTTTCCCCAGGGAATGCGCAAAGTTGGTGGATTAATTTACGTCATAATTAAGGCCAACAGTGCACGATTGGTGCGCGTGATTTTGCGCTTGGGGTGAGAATGACGTCATGTCGCATTGTGTGACGTGCTACCGGGTCGCAGCTATTGTTTCGTTGAGCACGTCGCAGCGTTTTGTCTTGTTGACGCCTACGCGCGCAAGATGTATCTACTGTTTAGGTGATTGTCAAGGCGCGTTGGCCAATCCAGCAACAAAGACCAGCGGTAGTTTAGCATAACTAACTTAGGTCCGGTCCTATTTTCGCTGCAATACCAAACAATTAGGCGTACTTTTTATACCGAATTGTCAACGAGTTATTAGTCACGAGAGTCTAGACGTTTCTAGAGCGACGCAACTCCTGACTTGGTGCGCAAACTGGTACTTGTCCGCGACATTCCAAAGCCCCGGAGTTCTAATGTTCTGACGCGAGTTTTAAAATCCCATGTTTTCACTCAGTCGACAATGTTTGTCGCTGAACGGGAAGACATAATAATGGCGTTCGCTCCTCGCGTGTACCTAATACATTCCATTTGAACATTTACCCGACTGTCACCGAAGACATCGAGCGCCTCGTAACATTTCTTCACCTGGTTCTACTGACCCCACTGTACCGAATAGAGCGCGCCTTACTGCACTGGTCACTCAACTAATGCACACGACGTTGGTAAACACACGTGGCGTGTGTGTCGCGAGAGCTTGCTCATTAAAATTTTAGACGCACACGCACACGTACCCGTACCCAACTCTTCGCATATAAATACATACGCATGCACGCGCATACGCATGCACGCACACTCTAGAGCGCACGCGCACACGTACGTGCGCACGCACAAGAGCGCGCACCCCCCCCC